CCCTCTTTCTATGTTAAAAGTGAAATTTTATATTCTAAGTTGAATTGCACGTTTAAGTTGCACGGTTAAAAGGAACAGACAGTTGTTGAGTGCTCTTGACCTGAGCTACGTTGGCTAGTTGCTCCTCAAATACTGTGGATCAGCGCCCCCAAGACTTTCAATTAGTGGGAGGGGTTGGCATCTCTGTTGAGAATGCCAGTGTTGAAAGTGGAACAGCTCAATAAAGAGAGGGGGAAAAAAAAGAATACACTTCAAAATTGAGTAACTCACATTTGTAACCACTGATAAAAACTTTTGCTTGCATCATTTAAAAAACAAACAAACATGATTTAAATATAAAACTATAAAATGTCAAAGTTACTTACTATTCATGGACTACAATTTTAAATCTCCATGTGAGAACACATTAAATTAATATATGCACCTATAAAAAGCAGACAGAAAGCAGGTTAATGCATTTATATGCTGAGTGAAATTTGTGTAAGGGGCAAAAATATAGCTGTGATGGCAGGCTAACGATAGGTGCACTTTGAACCCTGGCTAACAAGCTGGACACCCGTCCAGCAGTTTTTGTGCTATTTTTTGGTTGCCAAACGTTCGGTGCAGCCCTAATTTACATTGGCTCATAAAACCTCTACATGAATACACTTTCCCAGAAGAATTGTGCATTTACGCCCCCCACACTATATAGGTTGTGACTTTTATTATACCATTTAACATATTTATATGATACTTAGCAGATATTCAAAACTTAACTCAATGTGTTTTTTAAAATAAGAGGAAGAACTCTTGAATGCCGATATTTCAACTGGTCTAGGCAGGCAAAGTTGACATGACATAATGACACAATTGCCCTTCTTTGCCTTCACTGCAAAAAGCTCCTTCAGGTGAGGCCAAGGATGCTAAAATGCTGTATTTGAGCTGTTGCATGTTGAAGCATCCACCACATTTCCTCCCTCCTCCATGATTAAACTAAATTGCCGCCAGGTGTCTTGAAGTCTGTCTGATGCAAGTTTTCTATGCGTGATTTGATTCAATGGGAATCACGGGACTGATTAGTCTCCTTAGCCAATCACCGTTGACAGGAAAAAATAAACATACTGTGTAAAGTAGTGACGGCAGGTTGAGGGAAAGTAGCGCAGTAAAAGTACTGATACAGCGCTAAAAATGTACTCAAGTAAAAGTAAAAATACACTGATTTTAAACTACTTAATAAAGTACAATTCCTGAGAATAACTACTCAATTACAGTAAAGAAAGTATTTGTAATTCGTTACTTTACACCACTGTTAATTGTTAATCTTTTTTTTTTTGTCATATTTTCATCAATAGTATGTTTAAATTAAAAACGAATAATTATAGTCATGATGCATATTTTTATCTGGTCATTATTATCATTGAGGAAAAAAAACCTTTGTTAATGAACAATTTGGTCATTTCATTTTGACAAGATTAATGATGCCGTTCAATCTAATGGCTTAACATGGTGTAATGTAGCTACTAAAGACAACGACCAGGAAGGTAAAGCAAATTTTATCGCATGTTCCTTGTTTTTCACAATTTCCCACCAAACAGTGACACCCCGTTATCCAAGGAGGAAAAATTATATTTTTTATGTTAACATTTTCTCCCCCATATAATCCTTTTACAAACCTACTAAGACAGAGGTTGAGGCAATAATCTAAAAGGAAAGCGTAAAGTATTAAGTTAAAATTTTCATACGTTGTAGCTTTATATGGTCATGCCTGTTTTTTTTCCACTTCAGTACAGTGGTCTGCTCATTGGTAATGCTTAGATGATCGATAATAACAAATGTACTGTAGCATATCCTGTGTAAACATAAACATAAAAATAAGCATTAACTGCATTTAGTTAATTATTATTAATAGTATTTTAATTTGTAATATATTAACAATTATTAATTAATTGTAGGCAGTGTATCTTTTATTGCTATATTAATATTTTGCTCATTCAGATTTCTAGTCCTAATAACAGTAAATCCACTCAAGTAAATCCACTGATTAGACTACGGTACATAAATCCCATGTAAAAAAAGAAACAGCACAATGCATGCTACAGTATGGTGCGATAAGTAGAAAAGATGAGTTTTAAATTTTAAACTCATGACATTTTAAAACAAAGTGATGCCCATGTATTGCCTTAGCAAATAAATTACTGATCACTTTTCAATACAATTAAGCTTTTATTAAATCTAATTTGCAAAGAGTATACAGTAATTAGTATCAGAATTATTTTAATCCAATGATTTTAACAGTATCATTTAGCAGTATTCATTGCTATGCCCATGAAAAAGTTTATATTTATTGGAAAGTGGTCAGAAATGTACAGTGTTTTTATTTTATGGCATTACACTTTAGCCTATATATGCTACGTTCCAGTGTGTACATCCTGATGCTCAACCACTGCTGGAAGAACTTTAAACAGTCTGCTTATGTACTTGTTGCATGCCGTTACTGTAAGCTCCTCAAACCAAATTTTTTTTATGGCAGCAATTAAGTCAGACTTTGTAGTTTTGCTTCTTTCTGAATATAGTCATTCAGAGCATGCCACATCATCTCAATGGGATTCATGTCAGGGGATTCTGGTGGAGTCTTCACCCAGTTTATACCCTCTGCAGCAATCACTCTGCTTGCAGCAGTCTGTTTCGGGTGATTGTCTTGGAAAAAGTGGTGATGACTCTGAGGTTCTCCCTGTTGTAGGGAGTGGCAGTTTCTTAGCATCTTCAAAGAAAGACGGGTCCATTATCCCTTCAAAGATTACAATAGGTCCCAGTCCCAGTCTGGATATTGCTTCCCAAACATGAACTTTTACTGTGTGTTTTGCTTGGGTTTGGACATGCGTCAGCCACTCTTACAAAATGACATGGTGACAAAGTGATCCAAAGCCACCGTTGTTTTATCAGTGAAATGATGTCATGAAACGCCTCCTTCTCATTAGTCCATATGTGGGCTTGTTGGAGACGTATCTCTTTATTTTTGTCTCTCATCATGGAACAATGTTGAGTTTTACTGTACTTCCATCCAAGTTTTTGTCTGATCCTCCGAATGGAACGCCCACTGATGTCCACGCCATTGTCACGCCAGAGCTGTTTTTTTCACTGAACTTGCCAGCAGTTCATCATTATGGCTAGTGATGATGTCTATGGCTGTGACAATGTCCCTAAAATCAAGGGCAAAACATTAAATAAATATTTGACACTTTAGGCAGGACCAACATATGACATAATTGCAACATATTTACATTTGTGATAGCGTCATACTGTATGAAGTGAGTAATTTATTTATTTTGTGAGGATTACGTATGCGTGATGTTCGTTCTTTGTAATGTCTTCTGATGGTGCTCAATGTAGCGTGTATACCAGTGGAACTCAGATGGTGGTGTATTTCTCAAGTGGAACTTAGAGCAGACTTCATCATCCTGATGTCTTGGGAATGCAGTTTGCTGATCTTGGTCATTTTGTGATGCCCTTACATGTGGATGGACTGCATTTATCCATATGTCAAGGTGTCATTGTGGGCATGAACAATAAGTTATGGGTTGTAGATACTGTAGACTAGGCCTATCTATCAGGCCAATCAAAACGCTTAACACTGCGTAATGTACTAAAGGCAGGAAGGTAAAACAAATTTTATCACATGCTCCTTGTCTTATGCAGGATGAAACAATGACACTGTAATCACCAAAACCACTGTCAGCTGACAAGGAAGCGGCATGTGACGCTAAGTTACAGTCTCAACACCCTGAAGATTTTGTGGTAATTAATGGAGTCTTTAACCATGTAAATCTGGATTCCACTCTCCCAACTTTCCACCAGGTTGTTGATTGCACTACACAGGAAAACAGAACACTAGACCTTTTGTATTTAAAGAAGCATACAGAACTACTAATCTACTAATCTACTGTTAACACCCCAGTATGTTCCTGCAGTTCAAAGGCAGCCTGTCTCCACAAGGATTGTAAGGAGGTGTACTCAGGAGGCCAGTTTGGCCCTGCAGGACTGCTTTGAAACATTTATCCATACAGATGTCAAGGTGTCGTTGAGGAAGTGGACAATAAGTGAGAATGACTTGTAGATCCTGTAGGCTAGGCAGGCCTATAGCAGGCACGAATTGGGTAAATTCATGTGATGAACCAAAGTTATTGTAATTAATTTTTAAACTGTAAAAAATCTGTCCCTAAACCAAAAAATCAATATTATAAAGCATCTTTTTGAGTAACTATACTCTATTGACTCAAAGTGTGAATGTCTTCATCTATGTTTACTGCATTTAGATCTTTTTTAAAATATGTACCCGACCCAAATTACCAAATGAAAAGACAGTTAAATGGTTAGGACAGCTACTTGATAACTACTGCAATTCTAAGAATGACTGGTAACGTGTTAATAGTTCAAATACGGTTTTACAAATCTATGGAATCATCTCATTATTATGAAGGTAATTTTAAAGTGCATTGTTTTTTTAATCCCATCTCATTATTATGAAGGTAATTTTAGTGCATTAAAAAAATCAACTCACAAGACAGTAAAATGGTTAGGACAAATACTTGATCACTACTGCAGTTGCAGACTATGCATTGAGAATGCAATTCAGAATACATGTGAATAAAAATTGAAAACTCAATGAGGACTATGAACTTTAAAAATATAGTAAACAAAATGGCAAGTAAATTGCACAGCAACTGTATTTGCACTGGTATTAATTGAACACATTTTACTCAGGAAAAAAAAATTAAATAGCTCATCTCTCCTTCCACCATCATGAGCTATAGTTGTGTTCATTGTGCGTGTCTTCCATATTTTTATCCACTGAATTCTTTGCTTGGGAGTTTTTCATTTCTGTACATTTCTGTTCATTTTCTTAAAGCACAATTTAAGTGTTAACAGGTCAGAGGTAGAATTACATTAATTACTGTTTTATTTAAAAAAAAAACACATTCCTTGCATAAATCTGATGTTCAACAACAAAATGTCTTTTGGGGGCAGTTGTGGCCTAATGGTTAGAGAGTTGGCTTTTTAACCTGAAGGTCGTGGGTTTGAGTCTCAGGGTCAGCAGGGATTGTAGGTGGGGGGAGTGAATGACCAGTGCTCTCTTCCACCCTAAATACCATGACTGAGGTGAGACCCTTGAGCAAGGCACCAAACCCCTGAGTGCCCACTGCTCGGGGTGCGTGTTCACTACTGTGTGTGTGCCCTTGGATGGGTTAAATGCAGAGCACAAATTCCATTACTTCACTTCACAAATATTTGATCAAAATGCATATTTTAGTCTAACTTATTGTGCTCATTTCTCCCTTGCACTCTGTCTAAGTGCAAGTTTAACAGCGTTTCGGTTGCTGTTATGACAAATTGTTTTGCGAAATGGAAATATGCGCATGACTTTTAACTCATAATATTTACAGATTATATAAAATAAGAGTAAAATGTAAGTTATGCGTTGGAGAAAAGCATCTCTTATGCACATCAAACAACACAAACACTCGCTGTATTGTCTTGTTTTTTGGCTTGAGAATAATGCGTGAGAGTTGGCAACTCTGCAATTGCTACTTTATGTCTCATAACTGATAATATTTATGTACATATTATCTCGTGAATACCTGCAGAGAGCGCAATGAAGTGTGTGTTTACAAAGCACATAAAATAATGATCCAAAGCATTACACTCATGCAGTCATGGATTTTCCAGTGTCCGTATTACTGAATATCTGTGACCATTATTAGGCTATTTTTTATTCATATTTTATTATGGATATTTTATGTTTTCTCGAAATCACGACATTAAATGTGCAGTTAACAAATTATCAGACACTATCAGTGTCTCATGATGTTAATTCTATTTTAATTATATATTGTAATAATCTGTAAGCCTAGGCATATATAAAATCGACTCATTGCCAAATTGAAGAGGCTAAGAGCAGTCTGATCTGGGCTGTGGACGTCTGTGTTCATTTTAAACTAGTTTTTCCAATAGTGAAACTTTAAATCTAAGAAAAGAACAAAAGTTTTCATTGGCAAGAAATTGAGAAAATTGAATTCATTCATATTTACTCATGCACAGGAATAAATATGAAAAAAACTCACTGAACCTTCACTCTTACCAGAACTGAGGATCAAACTGAGGGTGCTGGCATTCTACAACAATCACATTACCGCTGTGCTGTTCTACCACACGTTTTAATCATTTTAATTTAAATGCTATAGTTATAGTACCTGTACTGTCCTATCTGTACTACTTCAGTCTTGTAATTAGAAACTGATTTAATTATGTTTAACATAAGAAATGTAATATTTTAATGGAAATCATACGTAATATTTTTTATTAAATCTAACTGACCTCACATTCCATTTTTTCCTCCGTACTGTGTGTTGAACTACAGTATGTTGTTCCATGCGCCACCTGGTGGATATTGTGTGAAGCACAACAAATGAACTTAGATTCTATGAAGCATGCCTGAAGGGTGCGTGACGAATCGCGTGAAACCACGTGAAAAAACGTGCATTCTTAAAGGCCACATCTGTACCGCTCCAGCTTTGTTCAAATCAATATTATTATTGCATTCTAATTTGGGAGTCTGTTAGTCTGTTTTTTTTTGCACACAGCTATTTATCAAATAAAGGGATTTTGTATACAGTTCTACTGTGTATGACGTTTTCAGATATGGGCCCTATTGCCACTTGACCACCTATTGTTCCCCAACTTGGGGTGGCGTAGTCAACACAGCACATATACTAAAATTGGAACAATACAGAGAAGATTAGCATGACCCTGCACAAGGATGACATGCAAAATCTTAGTCAACGCCCAGCTCCACAGCCTCCTTTTGTGTAGACGCCACACGCACCATTGGTAAACCACAGCTATAGCCTAATATCTTTACTCAAATTCAAATGTTACCAATATTAAAGGTCAGAGTTTGGAAAATACAGCACACAAAATAAAGGAATTATCAAAGCTTTCTCCTTTTTTTAAAAAACTATTTCTACATCCTCACTAAATATCTGCAGAAAATGCTGAACTTTACTGGGGTCAGTCCATGTCCTGGACAATCAGTGCGCAGAACTCACTGTGTTAGTATTGCGCTACTTCCACAAAACTTGTACAATATGTTTATCTGTGGTTGCTTTAGTGTTTTTTGTGACTTGACAGGAAATAGCCACTAGTTGTGTCATCTGGAAATATGGCCTTAGCTATATTTAGGGCAGTGCTGAACTGGTAATCTGGCATACTGGGCATTTTCCCGGTGGGCCATCTTGCAGGCATAGCGGCCCATCACAAAGCACTATATAGATGGATATAGGATCTTGCTCCTCCTATATAAATATCGCTTCACCTCTCTTCACCTTCCTCTCAGTCTCTCAAAATGGACAGACCAAAGCGAAACGATGGTGCTGAAAAACTCAGGGAAAAGTAGCTTAAAAATCTGGAGGCGGATGCCGCAAAATGTGCCTCATCATCGGCAGTTCCGAAATGTACACAGCAGCGTTATCAAGAACAGGCTTGCTCTGCTGTGAGTGATGCGGGCCAAAGGGACAGGCAGGAGGAGGAGAGGAGTTTAATCGGTACGGAGATTGATAACGGGCTCGCATGAAGGGGAAACGGAGGAATCTAACCTGTCCTAATATGCGTGTGCGTGCCATGAGTGTTGAATATGTAAACACTCTTTAATAAAACGAAAATTCGTCCCTTGTGCTTTTTTGGCCATGTCAAGTGTGTTCACAGAGATTTCCATGGGCCAATGCGAATAAATCTAGATTTAAATATGACCTGACGTTTTATTCTTATACAAAACGAGATCAGATATTCACGCACCATTTTTTATGGTGAGTTTTTTTTTTTTTATTGTGAGTTTGCAATATATTCAAATACTTAACTTTCAATATTAAAGATACCAGTACTGTAATCACTGTGTTTAAAAAATCATAATTTATTAACTTATTCTCTGCCTTCCTCTCTTATTCTTATAAAGGCTGCATTCTTTGAGGAGGTCTTTGCTGTCCCTTAGTGTGAAGATTACTGGCAACATTTTAAATTATAGTAGACTATATGCTGTACATAGTTGCATACTTATTTTTATTAATTGGAAATTATACTTTGACCTTTTAGCTTCTTTTCTTTGGGGGATATATATATATATATATATATATATATATATATATATATATATATATATATATATATATATATATATATGGTATACCTATATGTGGTGATTTTTTGTCCCAGTCCAGCCCTGATTTAGGGGTCCAATCACTGAGGGTAATTGTATTTATTAGAATTTGTAGGGGAACAAACATACAAAGTTTGCACTGAATGCAAAGTTAAATTTCTAGAAACTTTACAATATATAATCAGTAGGACACTCATTAATAACATATTTCATAACAATTGGCCCATAGGCTATTATTTTTCTAATTCATATATTTTAGGCAGAAATATACCCTACCAAAAACTGCATACTCAGAAAATGGCAGACTTTTGGATCCTTGGCTGTGTGTGTGTGCGTGTGTGCGTGTGTGCATGTGTGCATACATCACCGGAAAAAGCCAAAGATGGGAGTCTATGTTTGTTCTCAGCTGAGATAATCGCATGTATTAAAGAGGTTGTGGTCACTTCAAATGTGTTTGACTGGATTGACCAATCAGAGTGCGCCATTCACGAGCACTAAACTCTAAAACATTCTGACTTTTTATGAACATTTGAGGCCATTTTAATAGCGACTCATGTCAAATAATAGTTTTAAGTTTTGGTGTAAATATTAAAAGTAAATGTTAAATATTAATGGTAATAAATACATGTAAATATTATATATCAATATAAATCTTAAATGTAAATATAAATGTAGAGCTTAAATGTTTCCTCATATGCCAATTGACCCCATCCTCTCAGAGTGTGCATCAAGGGAAAACACAGTGCAGGTAGGCCAGGTTTACACCATACTGTGTTAGTTTTGGAACAAGGCTGAGGCTGTAAAAAGTCGGTGGCATTTTTGGGCTGATTTAAAAACAGTCTGCGGCCACCAAGATCTTGTTGTAAAGCAAATAATCAGAATTAAATCAAACCTATCTCAACAAGCATATGCTATGTCCATATATATTACAAGATTATCTGCTGAATACTGTGTCATAGTATGTTATGTTTACATTTACAGCATTATATTATTATATATATCTGACACATTATCCACACTAGAACTGTGTACTGGTTGGCACTGCATTGTCTTTTACTGTGCCTATTGTCCTTGTACTGTGCCTAAAGATCTGAGTGACTTTGACAAGGGCCAAATTGTGAATTCTAGATGACTGGGTCAGAGCATTTCCAAAATGACAGGTCTTGTGGGGTGTTCCTGGTATGCAGTGGTCCGAGGGCTGTGTAGCCGCTGATCAGTCAGAGTGCCCATGCTGACCCCTGTCCATTGTCGAAAGCATCTGCAACGGGCATGTGGACATCAGAACTGGACCATGGAGCAATGGACAAAGGTGTCCTGGTCTGATGAATCACGTTTTCTTTTACATCATTTGGACGGACTGGTGCATGTGTATCGCTTACCTGGGGAAGGGATGGCACCAGGATGCACTATAGGAAAAAGGCAAGCCAGTGGACACAGTGTGATGCTCTGGGCAGTGTTCTGCTGGGAAACGTTGGGTCCTGACATCTATGTGGATGTTACTTTGATGTACCACCTACCTAAACATTGTTGCAGACCAAGTACACCCCTTCATAGCAATGGTATTGCCTAATGGAAGTGGCCTCTTTCACCAGGATAATGCACCTTGCCACACTGCAAAACTTGTTCAGGAATGGTTTGAGTAACATGACAAAGAGTTCAAACTTGATTTCCAAATTCCCCAGATCTCAAACTAATTGAGCATCTGTGGGATGTGCTGGACAAACAAGACTGATCCATGGAGGCCCCATGAACCTACAGGACCTAAATGATCTGCTCCTAACATTTTGGTGCCAGATACCACAGCACACTTTGTGGAGATCTTGTAGAGTCCATGCCTTGACACGTCAGAGCTGTTTTGGTGGCACAAGGGGGGCCTACACAATATTAG